AGAGTGTCATCTCTGTCATTTTACAAAAAAACTTGTAGGGACAGAACTATACTTAAGCGTGACTTAAATTTGAGTAGCGACTGAGTTTATCAGCGTGACTTCCATTAATTGCAACCGCCAAGTAAAACAAAGTTACAATAAAGTTAAGCTTCGAAATCGTTAGGCAGCAACCCTACACTGCCCGACGTTAGGCTGTGCCTAGATGATAGCCAGTTGAGTCGGAGCGATTAGCTAGCCGGCTGAACGACTGAGGGAAGTTACACGATATGTATGTGCATATAGGTACAGACAAAAAGATTCATATAGGGATGAAGATAGATAGTTATAGTTTTTAGTTTCTATAGTAAATGCTTATCATAGATTATTATGCGAGAAAAAGATTCTACTATGCCTATTATAGGGTGCGATGAGTACCTATATGTTCAATTCATTACAAGGATTAATAATACATATGCCTTCAAAGGTACCAGTATGAGGTTATCTTAGAAAGCTTATTGTCATTGTATTTAAAATTTTAATACAACATAAATTAGATTAGTAGCACTGGGTTTTAAAAAATCTCAGTAGTAGCACTGAGAGAATTGTGCCAGATATATGGCAATAGTCTCACCCATTACATGGGACTCATAACATAATAGTGAAAAGTGGGTGTTACATTGTACAGTAGCATTAAATGCCGTAATGTGCACCTCTGCCTACCTCTTCGGAGATAAAAGGCGTGATGTTATAAATTAGACTCAAAAATACCTTAACCTAAAAAAACTACGTACCTTATAACCTAAAAGCTAATTACACTTAATGGCTGTCATTCTAATTAGACATTAGACAACTACGAATAATATCATCGTTGTTTTTAAGTTAAATTAATATTTATCATTTTGCCAGCGAAGTAAACGGTCCCTTAATTAATAAACGGGGCTTTCCGAGAAAAATGTATTACGCTTATGTACACCATTTGGTAAATTAGTCCTAGTACATATACGGGCTAAGCTTGATGACGTATGAGCTCAGTTTACGTTTTAATTATGTTTACTAGTTGTCTAGTATGGTATGTATCATATTACTAAATGCAAACCTGTATGGGTTTTAAGTGATGTGGAAATATTTATTGATATTAATCGATGTATCTCCACCGTTTATTGGTCACCATATGGAGCGAATCCAAAAAGAGGTTTTTTGTCCAATCACAGCAGCTGTCAAATATTGAATGTCCAATCGTGTGACACTAGCTAATTCCCTATTGGATGAAATACCAGTGGGACATACTAGCGCCATCTGTTGAGTAAAAATACAGTAATCACGGCAATGGGGGCCCATTGCTGTGCCGATTATTACTTGATTATGACTTATAAATGTAATACTATTGAGATATTGCTTAATAACTAAGACATGTGTTAAGAATCACTACTCGGGCAGAACAGTCCATGTCATAGCATTTAGTAGAAAATATGGAGTCCCATGTTTGTCTACGTACTTAGATTTGTCAACGTACTACGTTACTTAATTACTGAATTCTATCTCCTAACTTAACTAGCTGTTGCCCGCGACTTCGTCCGCGTAGAATATGATTCCTGTTTTATCCCGTGGAAGCAATTAATCGGAATAACAAGTCCTATCGCCTAAGTAAGTCCACACCCTGCCTGTATACCAAATTTCATCAAAATTCATTCAGTAGTTTCAGCGTGATGGACGGGCAAACATCCAAAGTAACTTTCACATTTATAATATACCAGTGTGACTAACTACGCTAGCAAAAGGAAGCTGTAACTTATCTGCATATTATTATGAATACACATACCTATAACAACTATGCTGGTTTTAGTTCCTATCATGAACTAACCGGGCAACTTGCCCCGACCCTCAGGAAGCTGCTACGTTCATTGGATGCCTGCACCGGTGTTCATAGATGTAACTATGTGTGGGCGACCTAAAATGTGGTACTGAATGTATGTGATGTATTTAAAGGTGCTTATGAATGTATGTGATGTATTTAAAGGTGCTTATCAGAAAAAAATGATAAGAGAATGAATCTATTTCAATTGTTCATAGTCACGATTATAATGTAATGTATCATACTGTTTTAACAATACATAAATAAATTATTATGTTTTCGGCTTACTCACGTAATTATTTGACAAGGAACACGACTAGTTTCAAGCCATGCTAGAGCCTCATATTCATGAGCAGCATTTCGCGACCCGCGACGCAACGACTGTCGCGCTGCTACTGGCTGTAGCAGTTTGTGTAAAACATAATAATTTATTTAGTATGTCTCACGAAAGTTATAATACAAATACATAAATGGTATTGTATTTGTTTTTGTTATACCTGAGATAATACTCAAATAATGTTAATTGTTAATGTAAAAATATCTATTTATAATGCTGTTTTCCTTAATTGGGTTTTCAAATGTTTATTTAACTTGTATTACAGCTCCATCACTTTTCCTCTTTTCCTTTTTATATGAGGTGTCAGACAAAGCTTAGAAGGAATAAATAATTTTCCTCTTTCTACGAACGAATCGGTAGAATTTGCTACAAAAGAAATTACATTTTCACAAAAATATAAGACAGAAATAACTAAAATAAGGAAAAACAATGTCATATCAAATATGTACTTTATCTAGCACATAATAAATATCATTGTACGTTGTAGTTTGGCACGGAATTTTGCCTGAAGCGCCAGAAAGCCGTCTTAAAAGAGAACTTTATTTAATGAACACTAAGAATTAAGGACGTTCAAGATGTAACCGTTTTCACTCTGCGCATGACACGTGTGAGTTATAACGGCGCCATTTTATTTATCGAGTGCAAAATATTATGTAACAACAATTTACAAGAAATATTAAGGTTTCTCTACTCGCTAACATTATTATAATTAATTTTGGGATGAATTTTCTCAAGTGGTTAGTAAATTGTTTTAAGGGGCTGTTGATTTTTCATTAAGGACTTACGATTAGACTCTAAATTGGTGTTTAGACTAAAATAGATTGGACAATTTCTAGCAGAAATTGGGGTTTAAATGTATTGGCTTTGTGACTATATTGTGTACACGCAAATATTTTTAATATCAATTACGTATAAATTGTGGTCTGTATTAATAGGATCAAAATAATTAACGGCAGCCTCTAAGAATCGACGACGGCGACTTTTCGCGTCCGGCCCTAGTCCGGGTCATGATGCGGAGCGAGGGGGACTGGGATGCTGTCTCCTCCTTTTGCGAAGCAGTCATGCTAGCCAAGGAGGAGGCGGGGCGCATGAGGCAGCGAAGCGCCTTAAAAAAAGCCTCTAAGAAAGCTTTACTTTCTATTGCTAAAGGTAGTAAGTAAGTAATATCTGCCTACTATGTACCGAAGTGAACGGCAATTTTTAAGACCGTGAGACATACTGAATTAACTAAAAATTTTTCGAGTTACAGAGGGACTCTTTCACTACTTGAGCTTTTCACAGTATACGTGTGTAATTCGTAAGTTTTAGTTAATTTTTAAGATTTCAGCTAAAATACTCGTAAAACAACAACTATGAACATAAAACTAGGATCAGAAAATTGGTATCCTCCCAATTTTCTCATCCTATTTACGTCACAGCTGGAATTCTATCCATAATCCATATTTATGGACCTATCTCACACGGTAATAAATTTCAACCAGGACCGAAATATTCCATATCTTACCTTACCTTAGACAGAAAAGGTACAAGGAGTCTTTCACGAAACAAATCACAAAATCCAGCTTATACCTTGTTCCATCAATGTACTAGTTCTATTCCCAGTTCGGCTTCTCTCCGTATGTTCATATATGTAGTTGGGTAACATAATATTCGGTCCTTTGTAAATAATAAGATAATATTGTGTGGGCGGCTTATTTGCTATACAGCGTCTCGAGGGCTTTATTAACATTTTGCTCAGGATATTGGATTTCCAAAACATCTCGGATGTCTAGCAAATTATTTTTATTTGTTCAACAGTAGTTGAGGTGATGTTTTATTGTTCTTTTTTATTTTTTACCTTTATTTGAAGTGGCCAATAATTTGCTCTGACACTGTGAGTGTTAAACAAAAAGAATAAATGAACATAGTCTTTATACATCTATAAGGTCCAATTCTGTTTGTCGGAATCGATTACCGTGTGTGTTTATGTATTACCACTTGTACTTATGAACAAGTAACGTTTACTGAATACGGAACCTTATATTCAACAGTTGCACTTACTACCATCATTCAACTAACAATCATCATAATATAATGTCGGTAAAGGTTCACACAAAGAGCTAAATCGAGATATACCATGTAATCTATCAGTATATCGAATTGAAACAATTTTTTAATACGTTGCCCCACACTAAGATTTTCTCCTGTGTCGTGGGTGCGTTTACAAATATACAAGTTCACATACACATCATACCCAGACTGGAACAACAACCAGTGGATCACACAAAGAGTTGTTCCGTGCGGGAATCGAACTCGCGACACGTTGCACGGCAGCCAGTTGCCCAACCACCGCGCTAACCATGCATGCAAAATTGTAACATAATACTCAAACCATAAATAAATATCACATATCACATAGTTATCACCTGTCCAAGTTTAATTTTACGGACACAAATAAGATTGGATTTACTTCAGTACTATGAATGATTCTGATACGAATGAATTTGATATTTCACTATCCAATTATAGAGATGTATTTGATTTGACGGGACATATTGATAGATATCGAAGTACGACTCTATTTGTGGAAAATGTATGAATGAATAAATGATTCATGTGCTACGCCGTAGCGCTCGTAGCAAAGGAAATTCTCTGTAATTTAATAAATTTACACTTTGTTGCTATATGATCTGAGTCGTTTTTTCTATAATATGCTTTAGGTAATCGTATCTTTTCACTATTACGTTTTTATAAGATTTTTACAGTAACCAAACGGGTTTTAACTGTCACTACTATTAAACTCTTTTGATTAATATTTCACCTTTACTTATGCAACAATTTCCTTGTCTCCAGGCTGTGCACTCTCCGGATAACCAGGCTCAGAGTATGTGGTGCGCTGGGCGAGACAGGCGGTGGCGCTGCGAGTGGCGCGGGCGCCGGCGCCGTAATCCTCGCCGCGCGCATGCACAGCTCCAAGCGGACGCTGCGGTCCAACGACATCGCAGTCCCACCGCTTGATGTCGAGCTCGACCTGTGCTTCTCCTTGCAATACCCTCACTTCGTCAAACGGGATGGTAACAGGTTAGTATTATGTACACTTTGATTTAAACATATTAGTAAAGTTCCTGTATTGATGATAGGCTTAAATTATAAACTGGCTTAAAGATTAATGAAAAAATATTTAGTCTCTTCATTACCCAAGTGACTCACTCTACGAGATTATTGTCAACCTGGCATCTGCTTCTACTTGTATTATAATATTTCCATGCTGTTTTCGACTACGGATTCTTCGCCTACTTTCTGGCATCCATCATGGGGTCTCAAATTCCTTACATAGTGGAAAAGTTATTGTAAAATTACTTATGTTAACTACTTAACATTACGACTATTTGTAGCAGATAAAGATATGGTTCTTTCTGTCAAATTACTTTAATCACCGAAGCGACAAACACATGCAGTCTACTCAAAGAGCCATCAGACCACCACGCATGGGGCCCAATAGGGTTGATGCCGATTCGGATTCGTGGAGAACCGGGTTACCGGGGCTCCAGCTCGGAGTGCACGAGTAGAAACTGGTTTTTAGTCAGTAAAAGTCTGACACGATACTCCCTCCCGCCTCACATAGGCTGGAGAAGCCATTATTTCCCCCTCTTAAAAAAAATCTACCAACTTTTATGACATTTTAAAAACCTCGTTTTATTCATTACCTTCTCAGCTTCCCACTATAATATTCTCAAGTCACAATAAAAATAATGCTAATAAAAGTCGACTGCATATAAACAGTGTGTCTCCCATCACTCGTTATTAAGACATTATTCTAGTTTTTGCACCGTGTGTCTGTTTGTTTATATAGATTTTATTGGCTTTTTATATAGCTAGTAAAAAGTATGCGTTAAAGTATTCGTGTTATACGGTCAAGGTGTGTTTTGTGATCGATCTTCCCCTGTCCATACATTTCTAGCTAATTGTCAGTTTTTCTCTCTTGATAAATGATGTTTACATTCAATCGTGTATATACAGGTACATTGTGTTATGTACTATATTTTGTTATATCTCTGACTGACTGAAGTATTTTGAATTGTAGATTTTATATCATAATGTCTTTCTTAGCCTTGTTATTAGTAGTAGTTACTAGTAATTGCTTTTTGTTCATAAAAACGAAAAATTTAGGGACTCCCAATTATTCGCACAACTCGGTAACAAAAGATCATAGTATAAAACAAAGTCGCTATCCGCCGTCTGTCGGTCCCAATGTATGCTTAGATGAATGATCTTTAAAACTACGCAACGGATTCTGATGCGATTTCTTTTAAAAGATAGAGTGATTCTTAAGGAAAGTTTATATGTATAATACATGCATATTGCAACCGTGCGAGGCCGGGGCGGGTCGCTATTATACCTATAATGTCGCAGACAACCTAACGGGTTACCGTCGCGGAGAACCTGACGGGTTACCGGGGCCCCGGCTCGAAGTTCAGGAGAAGGAACGGGGTGGTTTTCAGTCAGTAAGAGTCTAACACTCCCTTCCGCCTTACCCAGGCGGGAGGACTTATTCGATGTCTTTCCCCCTTAAAAAAAAGTTTACGTATAATACATTTGACACACAAATAGACTACTAAACACAGCAATCTTACTAAAACCTACATTCAACTCCCATAACGGCCATAAAGAAGTTATTTTAAAACCTAGCCTTTTAGCCATCTCTCAGTACTTGAGTCAAACAACACGGTATAAACATTCTGGCCAATAAAAGGGAACATAAAAGTACACTGGAAGCGACTGACGATCTAATGGTCAATCTTCAAAGGATCTTTCATGTGTGTTGTGTTTACAATACGATTAATCGTATATTCGGTTTGCTCTCGATACTGTAGCGATTATAACTTCGTTTTTTTTAACATAGGTACGTTTTATTAAAATGTTATTTGATTTTGACAGGCATAATGATTGAGTGGATGGTTCGATTTCTGGGTTGGTTAGGTCTTGATTGAATTTGTGAGAGACAAACATGTGGGTTATACGTTTAAGATGTTCACCATTACCTACTCTGTTCATGTATTAAACGGTTGACAAAATGTGTAATAATTATATGGTTTAACTAAAACTTTCAAAATGCCGATAATATGTAGGTAATAGAGACTATGATTTTTAACTATTTATTCTCGATTTCAGATTACAAATCATGCTGCAGCGTCGGAAGAAGTACAAGAACCGCACAATTTTGGGATACAAGACTTTGGCCGAGGGTGTAATCAGGATGGACCAGGTAAATAACATGCAGAAAATTAATATAAGTTATTAATATACCCTTCACAGTTCTGGTATATTAACTAGTTCCATTTTCCTACATGGTCTGCAATCTGCAACGTATTTGTGACACCTCTGGTGTGGTCGCTGTACTTAGCCTACAATGACTGCCTGCTTACCTTCAGGGCGCCATTAGCTCTGTTGCTACAAATATTAGCAAAACGATATATCGATTTTTAAACAAAAAAGTGATCAATGATAATGCAGACTGATTTTTTCTGAAGGTAGTATTTGAAGTCCCTTTTTATGGAACAATCCAGAAATTGGTCTTGTTCTTCAATATTGACAAGCATTGTAGTTTAGTTCATAGCACCATGGTACGATGCACAATTCCGATCCTGTTATGGTCGAATCTTTTCGCTCCACTGACCATATGATGTGGTTAGTGGACGCTGCCAATTGTCTTGTAACTGTATAGGATATGACATGGAGTGAATAATGGCTGATAGGGGCCAATCCAGTCATCCTCTACCTATATAGATTTAAATTGAATTTTCATTGAGGTTCTGTGTTTTTGTTCCAAGGAGAGCATATGAGGATCTCCCTTTTCTGCTAGTCTGTTCTTAATTAGTTATGACGTTGGCAGGTCGGCACTTAGTCAAGGATGACAAGGATATTCCCTGTTTTTTTTTTCTCTAGCCCAATGAAAAATATTCTAACGTAGGTATTATTTAAAAAAAATATATATTTGCAAGTCATCCTTGAAAACGATTAAAACTTTTATAGCAAGTCTTCAATAAAAAAGAAACAAAGAAACGAAATAAAAACATTCAGATGTCTTTTCCAATCTGGGGGCTTACTCTTGAATCCAATTCCGATCGATCGACATTGGTATTGTGAAATTTCGTACTCTTGAGTTGCAACACTAGCGCCCATTGCATCCGTATTGCGTGGATATTGAATGAACTAAATGGTATTGAATTTGTCTTTATATTCCGTACTCTGAATGCTATTGTAACAGCTACGATTGTGGTTGTATAGAGTTGACATTGAATAATTATTGAGATTATATTGGATTGAAATTGGATTGACATTGAGATTGGTTTCAAGAGTAAGCACCCTGGTCAGAGATCCAGTCCCCAGATAGTCTCAAGGTCAAAGGTCACATCTGAAAATAACTCTTTCAAATATCTCTTTCAGCAATAAAGTTATGATCTCAGTGTTTCGGAGTTATAAACCGAGTCGATTGATTCTTGGAGAGTCCTTGTAAATCTATACTGTAGTCTGTCATTGATTCTACGGTACCTAATTCGGTTCCAGAATATTTGATATTGTGGTTTTTGAAGTCAAATAGTGATTCGAATGTCCAAACTGAGAAGGATACACATGTTTGTCGATACTGATTTTACTGATTTATTCATTACATTCTATCAGCTAGATTTAGATTTTAATAAATGGTCATTTGATAGCTAGATTCTAGGCTAAAAATCTAGTTTAAAATTCAACCTATACACCGTGAAATATATATAGTTGCCGTCCTGAAGTAAAATGGTTCTGTCTCGGTAATACAAAAGTTTTACAAAAATAACTGGTGAAAAGCAAACTTCGAAAGCCCACACGAACTCATAGTATATTATCAAAACATCACGCCATGTATTTACTGAAGAGGTATTTCTCATCGGGTGGCACGTGCGATGCGAATAGTGCCTATAAATTTACGTCTAAAAAATAACATCTGTATATTTTGTTTTTACTTTGTACATTGAAAGTACTCCTTATGACAAGTTCTTTAGCCGTGCGATGAAAATGAAATTTCCACGGAGTATAGTTCGTATAGAAACAAATAGATTTTAGTTGTTATTCATATTAGATTAAACGAATTTTATGTATTTCAGTACGAACAACGAACAATTCCTTGGCATTGGTTGGTACTAGGTACTAAGTATTACTGGTATTTTGTCCTTGATTTTTCTTAGAACTAATTTTAGTTCTGTATTTGCATAATGTTTAAGTATGACAGTGGGACAATGTATAAAAACTTACCAATGGTTTTAGAGAAATAATGTTTTTTTTAATATTTGATGGGCCGACGTGTGACCACTATCTCGCCTGGTGTTAAGCGATGATGCGGTTCGTCAGGTTGGGGTATCGTAATATATACTCTATAAAAAAACATGATTTCTTCTACATAATATTATAATGTAATATAGTTTTATAGAGGTAAAATCGAGCGATAATGTAAAAAAAATCCCTTTTCACGAACCAAAAAAAAACCGCACAATCATTACCATCAGTTTTTTCCCGTTTAATGTCCGCACTGGACGCGTCCGCTAAATCCATTTTACCCCATACATACATACCTATGTACACACGATTACTAACACTAAAAACTATACAAAACCAGTTCATCGTGGTCTCGCTTCATATGATCTCTCCGCACATTCAAAGGTCAGTTTATACTGGTTAATCGTGGTTCATATGTGTACAGATATTTTATGTACGTGTGTGTGTATGTATGTAGATAACTCCTTAAATTATCCGCTTAATTGCAACGCCCTCATTATCAAGGCTCAGGACATTTGTCGGTAATTAGTGAGTCACTGGCAATGCGTTCCAGCGGGTTTAATTTGTTATCTCTCTCTCTCTCTCTCTCTTTGCATACCGTTTTATGATAGGACTAAGGATTCAAAGCTCAAAGCTCGTCTATTTCTGCAATCGTTTCTTTGTTTTAAATATTATAGGATAACGTACGACTGCCTCATTGGCCGAGTGGTCGTAATTGTGCGACTGCCGGGCAAGGGGTCTCGGGTTCGATTCCCCGGTCGGGCAAAGTATTATCCGTAGTAGCACGGAGTCTGGTATTGTGCCCGGTATATGGCAATAGGCTCGCCCCCTATTACATGGGACTCATACCATAAATAGTGAAAAGTGGATGTTACATTGTATTTGTATAGTGGCATAATGTACACTTCTGCCTACCCCTTCGGGGATAAAAGGGTGATGTTATGTTATGTTGTATTAAAATCAAGTCAGAATATTGGAAAAGCGGTGGCAGAGGTGGCGTTCGGGACTGTGATTGGTTGGTTCATTGGAGCAGGCCTCAGGTATTTTAATGTGACATCAACTTTTTGGGCAGGGCATCTCATTTTCACTAGGCCTAATACAGAACACCATGCCATGGAAAAAAAACAAAAATCCTGTAACATCCCATGCTTTAGCTGACCTAGGAATGATGAGTGCTGTGTGTACTGAGATTTTTTATGTCTTTTTTTATACCACGACGGTGCGTGGCAAGAAAAGCACACGGCCTACCTGATGGTAAATGGTTACCATGACCTATGAACGCTTGCAACACATAGGGCATTACATGCGTCTTGCCGACACTTTATAAACCTATTTACTTCTTTCTTGAAGAACCCCATATTGTAGCCATTAGAAGTGGATTTTTTAACCAGCCCACCTGGTCCTCCAGAGCGTTTATGAAGCAACTAGCTTATTACAAATTACATTCTATCACCAAGACACAATTCCACCACAATGAATTAATGTGACCTACATAATACCTTGATTATCCTGTTACCTCGTTTAGTTCAGTGACCGTTAATCGATGTACAAATTTGAATAGGCTAACAGTTTCCTACTAATGTGTGTGAACTGCGAACCTCGGGTGGTTGGCGTCACAAATTGATGTGGACTGTGGACTATTATCAGTACCTACACTGATTATATTATGTTTAATGGGGCAGTTAAATGTGTAGTATGCACCATATAATGTAGTTTATTGTGGTTGCACATTGGTATTTCCAATTTTGTACCGTTATGGTTGACATTATCATCGTTACAATCAGTCGGAAATTATCAATGCAGTAAAAGAAGCGACCCTATTAGTCCTTCACGCCAAACGGTAACTTGCCACTTAGAGTGACTAGATTTTTATAGATTGCAAGTTTTAAAGTGAAAGTAATTATAAAGATTATATTAGGACGGGCTGATTATTGGTAGAAAATGCCTGGGGCATTAAGTCCACGTAAAGCGCATTAAATAAATAAATTATTGATTTAAACTGTCAAACACCAAGCGGTCACCGGTGACCGCGACCTATTGTTCTTTAATTGAGTCTATAAAACCGGTACTCGACGAGTTAATATAACAGCAGACTAAACGACGGTGTAACAAATTTTCAACAGTAATGAGTTCTTTTCTCACTGTTTTTTCTCATTTGTCTATTCTTTCTTTGCAGGTACTTCAAAGGTCGATGGACATGGAGCTGGAGCTGACAGGTGTTGGTGGCAAAGTAGGCGCTGCTGCAGGACAGCCAGTCGCCAAGCTGACTATCACCGGCCTCGCGTCCACTCCCGTAGACCATGATACTAAGAACAATAATACTTTGCTTATTACAGGTACGTTTTTTAGTGAAGACATCTACTTTGGTGTCATAGGTCGTAAGTCATAAAGTTAGTATTGAATGCTTTATGAACCTACTAAGTTCTACTGGTAAATTGGTATGTTGTTGATATGGATAACCACATAGGATCGTGATCGAAAATATTTAGTACATGCGTACCTACATTCGGTGTTTTCAAAGCACCAAATGTATTGAAGGGTTGCTTTGAAATTAAACTCCATAATTTAATATTATTATCTATCTTTCAAAATATGTTTGCAACATGAATTTATATTGATGATAAATAACTGAATGACTACACTTAATATGCTATTATTTCACAGAACGAGGCTATTCAGATGAAGAAGAAGAAGGGGAATTCAGTTCGGTGGAGGAAGCCGATGAAATGACGTACGGAGCTCCCGCCAGGCGGCGCGCGCATCGACAATTGGCGTTCAACAAAACTGATTTATCGTATACCAAGGTAATATTGCATGTACCAAGTTACTATAGTTTTAAAGAGCAGACAGAATAAATAGTTTTAAATGTACCTAGGATTCGAATTGTTATAATTATCATATACGGTATTACAATTTTTTTTTCTCTGTATAAATTATTTAGACAGGTACGTAGTTTTTGTTCTAGGACTGGAAGTATTCATGAAACTTTATTTGAGTATTTGTTTTTTTACATTAGCTATTTTATTATTCTAGTACGTAACTGCAAAGAATTTTTGAATTGTATAAATAATAATTTGAAGATAATATTAGGTTAGTCGACGACGGTTTATGCTTATATAATTTTTATTAAAATTCTCAAGAAAGAAAATGCATGGTTTGACAAATACGCTTTCGCTTAAGGGTGCTTTTCATATTATCGTGGTTTTATCATTTACAGGCCGAAATAATACTGAAAATGTATAATATCATATTTATTTGATTTTAGCTTCTATTTAGTAGAAGTTAAGGCTTATTATAGCTTGTGCGTAATAGGCGTTGCATTGCACGCAGTTGTCCCGTTCTCGCGACTTGAGCTTCATGGAGCGCGAGCGAAAGAGACAGAGCTATATAAACTCTAAGGCGAACGACAGAGACAGCGACAGTGAGCTAGAGACTGCGGCCGCGAAACGCAAGGGCAGCCGCGGGAAGCTCGCGGTGAGCGCCTGCGCACGCACGCTTACTGCCGTACTCAGATACATTTAATGATCAAACTATTCCTTACTAAAGATTTTATTTTGAATGAAAACAATTGCTAAGGACTGGGTTAAGTATACTAAGTGACTCTGAATATGGCGGTTAGTGTTACCCGTATGAGAATAGAAATTATGATGATCACATCACACCTCTATCACACATGACTTATTTTATTCAAGAGAGCACACTAACAATAAATTGGCATGAACATTTCAAAAAACAGTATCTGATGCATGTCGAATAAACGTTCAATAACTTCCTATGAACACACTGCGCACGCGTCACTCTTGAGATTAAACCTCTGTGAACTATTAATTAATAATTATTTGTTATCTATGAATGATTAAATTAGTTTGGTGTTGTCCGGTTTGCATGTTTCCTCTGTTTGTGTTACCCGCGTAGAAAAATCTTTTAAATCCTGGCAACATTTACACTCTTCATTCAAAATTCATGCAATTCTGTCCTCAAAGGAAATTGAACTTTAGAATCACTTGTATAAAGTCTAAAATTTCTATTCTCATACTGTAGAGATGTGGTCTTCTAGTTTGGGATAGCATGCATCTTATTATTAGATTTTCTGTAGATTCTTCATTTAAGTCGTTAGTCCAAAGCAAATAGAAGCTAGATTTTAATTGTAATCATAGTTATTTGACACAAATCCCTCTCTAAATTGATGTATCCCTAAATGAAACAAAATTGTGCTCAATTTTAATTCTAACAGAGTTTAAAAAAATATATTGAAAAAGAGAATATAGATAGTATTAAGACCAGAAAAGTCTTTCAGCTTTAAGCTTAACATATAAAAATATACTTTTTTATATGGCATAAGCCGTTAAACGATCAGACGGATCACCTGATGGTAAGCAATCGGCGTCGCCTATGGACACATGGCGTTACAAGTGTTTTACCGGCCTTTTGGGGATTAGGAGTTTGAGGATCGTTGGGGATTCAGGAATTGGGTAAAGGGAAGGTAATTGGGCCTCCGGTAACGTCACTCACACGACGAAACACAACGCAAGCGTTACTTCACGTCGGTTTTCTGTGAAGACATAATATCAACGCTACCATTCTTCCCTCAAAAAGTTCAAAGGGCATATTGCCGTTATATTCCAGGCTCGCGTTGACACATTACAACTCTGTATTTGGCGCAGCAATTCTGCAATGCTAATGGTATTCCCGTCCAGGTGTTGGTGAGCTGCCTGCCTCATCCCCATCTCATATACCGTGTTGTAGATGCTGTTTAGGAGTGCCATAATCATTCATTCATGATAAATTTTCTCTTCGATTGTATCAAAGACTCTAATCTCTTCTGTTCTGTTCTGTACTGAAGACTAGTCTATTTTTGGGTCCTTAAATTTAGTTTTTTACACACTTTTTGCTACCAAAATACCTAATTAGCAATGAGTTAGACTGAAAATTATCTAATTCAAAACATGTCTTGTCCAAAATGTGAACTGCGTGCCACCGATACTTTGTCTGATGATTACATAGAACAAAGTAACATAATAATACGCCTTTTATCCCCGAAACAGTACATCACTTAATGCTACTATACAATGTAACACCCACTTTTCACTATTTATGTTATGAGTCCCATGTGATAGGGGGTGAACCTAGGCACAATTCTAGACTCCGTGCTACTACCGAGAATTTTTACAAAAACCCAATAATACTTTGCCCACCCGGGAAACTCGAACCACTCGGCCAACGAGGCAGTCTACACAACAAAGACAGACAGACAGACAGACAACGAGAACAAAGTAAACTCGATATTATTATCTCCAATATTTTCAAGAACAAACTTTCTTCAGTTTCGTACAGCATGTTATCACGTTATCATTTGCGACGTAAACAATTATGACATAATGTTTGGTGGCTTATTGTTATCATAGATTAGATTAGATCACCTTTAACATTTAACACAGTGGCTCAGTACTGAACGGTCCATGGAGGTGAAAGCTGTATGTATACGTCATATGCGCGTGCGCATCCCTGTGTTTTTGCCAAGCAGTAAACTTATAATGTGTGTTTATACTTCGACTCGTTAATTAAATACTGAAATTATGCCAAAGTGAAGCTTATTTGTAGAAAGATTATATTATTATACAAGTGGTTGTTTTTAAGAGTTGAAATATAAATTCTTATTTTGTTGTGTTTGTGTGGTGTTGTATATTGTATACATTTGTGTGGTGTTTGGGTATGATGATAAATTAGACATTGGAATGCGTGATTGTTGTTCTTTGGTACTTTTGTACTCGTGTCTGTGCCGTGGTCTTGTCGTACATTAAAACATTAGCTATATTTTATGTTGTGATAGTATAGAATAATCTTTAGTAATATGGTTACATTAATTATAATATGGTACATACAGAAAGGGCAAATGACAAACGTAAATAAAGAATAATAATGGGCACAAAGGCGGTCTTATCACTTATAGTGATTTCTACCAGACAACCTTTGGGTGGATATAATGAAAAGAAATATTTAGACGGGTTGATGTTATGACCTTCGTGTTTTTATAATGGGTGTTATACTTAAAATAACATGACAATCTCATCTCTTATCTTAAATATTATAATGAGTGACTCTCGCTTAAAATATCCTCAAGGTTTCGGGTCTTTGAAAATTCGGTAGGTTCAACTACATAAAATAATAGCTACTTTCGCGCGGTTTCACTCGCTCTGCTCGGCGCCTATTAATCGTAGCGTGATATTTTATAGCCTATAGCCTTCTTCGATAAATGGGCTATCCAACACAGAAAGAATTTTTCAAATCGGAGCAGTAATTTCGGAGATTAGTGCGTTTAAACAAACAAACAAAAAAACAAACTCTGCAGCTTTATAATATTAGTATAGATGACACATGCAAACTTGCCATAGGTAGTTTGTCCTTCAGAGGTCATTGTAGATTTTAATAACTGGACTAAGGCCCCTAAACATGTACTGTATTAAATTACATATACCAATATTTATCATCGATACCTTATTTTTATTTATTACAAAAATAACTAAACTATAATGAAATGATTCACCATAGATATTGTTGATAAGGCGAAAACATAATAATTTATTTAGTATGTCTCACGAAAGTTATAATACAAATATCGTTGATAAGATAAACAAAAATTAAACACTCTTTATCTGTACTTAAAACTATGAATTACTGCGATGAATGAGTAATTGTTATTATAATAATATTACATCGGAATTTTGTATTTTGGTATCTTTATTAAAATCCTCATTTATCTTGAAATGGTGAAGGGAAAACAAATAACAAATAAATATATAAGTACTTCTCATCTTCGTCACTTGTAGGAAAACACTTTAATCCTGTAGGATAATTCACAAAGTATTCCTTGAAACTAGTTAAAATATGAGTAGCCTATTAATTTTGTTAAATCACTTAGTTAGTATCAGCAAAAACAAATTCGAGCAAAATACCAATCATAACAATTTCCACTAGTTATTATTATCACGTAGGAAAATACACTTCTTTCTTCAAGCACAAAAAAAACAAATAATTGAATATAAATTGTAATGTAACATTTAACACCCTGTTACAGCAACGCAACTTGAAGCAGAAGTTCGCGGCGTTGTTGCGGCGGTTCCGAGTCCCCGAGGAACTGTCGGAGCGAGGCGCAACAAGGGACACGCATCATGCGCAACACGACATTGATGAACTATTCCAGGTACGTTACGTAGGGTGCTACTGCAACGTACACTTGCAACATAACCTCTAAAGATGATAACTAAAGTAGTATTTTTTTCTGTGAGATTATGTTGTTATTTTGAAATATTGAATAATTTTCAGGAACTGGAATCTTTATCATGCGGCGAGGGCGAGGACTCAGGTCCAGATCAGATGGATACCATCAGCATCGGTTCCACACCCAAACCCTCGCTGAGACCTTTCTTCAGCAGCTCCAGGAGTCTCGCCAACCAGGAGCATCACAGGCATTCCAACGGTATGTACCCGAATGCAACGTGATGTCAGCAATCTTAAAAACAACGGTGCCTAGCTCTTGGTCTCATTTTAGAAGATTTTACACGTTTTGTTTTAGAAAATTTACATTTTACCTTTTTATAATTTATATTATACTTTTTTTCCTATTGTAATATTTGTTTTAATAAATATTAATTTTGTACATCGTTTTTCATTTCTTTTAATGCCCAAGTTTTAATTTAACATACGTTCCGAAAGATTTTGTTCATACAATACTTCATTTGGTCTCAATCTTCCAAAGTTAGACCAGGAGCTGACCAACATACACGCATAGTCATCCATTTATAACACAACTAGTGTATGGTAAAGATATAATGTTAATCAGTAACAATTAATTGCCTGAGCATCGAAGCGTACATTTGATGATGCATTGTGACGTAATACGCTTAACTTTTGTTTATGCTTACATACATTTTAATGATACAATACATTTATACATACATTGAGATATTTTATGTTTTGTTCTGTAACGCTGTGTGCATTAGATTAGTTTGTGTGCGAGGTGGAATACGATCGACATGGGCCATGATGTTATTCACATAATGTATTATGAGCACTGTTTACCAAAAAATGTTAAACTTCAGTATCAATGTGTAAGGCCCATAAATTAACAACTTAGTCGGAGGTATTGGTCTTAACAAACACATACAAAACCAAAAGATACAATAACTCATTGGTGAAAACACAAAGTGCACCGCAAACTAAATGTGCGGCGGTATTCCACGTTGCACGCGGTGACTGAAGGTGCATGCGCAGTGGTGCGGCACGCGAGCGTCGCGTCCGGGGCCGAGCTCGCCGCGCTGCGCGAGAGACACATCAGCACGCAGCCGCTCACAGGTAGGCAGGATACTGTTGCGCCATGAAACTGTACATGTTTCTCGGACAAACTTAAGGCCCATTCTCACAACAGAGTCACAATACCAGTGTTTTGTTATTAAAGAAGAGGGTAAAAGTAACTTTTAAAAAACATCGAATGTTAATTAATATACAAATAAATATAAATTAACTAAATTGAGGTAAAAATGAGAGCGTTATGGGGTAAATCATGCTCTTGGTAAGATAAAATCACTCTCCATGATATTAATAAGATGGGATTCTAATTATAGTCACTAGCTCAAGGACTACAGAGCCTAAAGTTCCGTAATGAAAAGTATTTATTGTGCATGGAAAATATGACTATGTTTATTGATTATGATACTGTGTTTACATATTTAAACGATTAAGTTGTATTTAAATAAATGTTTGATCGAGATTGGCAAAAGAAATTTATTTACGGTCACTTTACACACATACCATTTCTTCTTTATTTTTTGTTGAACAATCTCTATCAAATGATTAGTTTATTATGACTATTAGCGTGCTTCTGTCTGTTATTTTATGTTATTATACTATTCACTATATCACTGCTTCCTGTCTTCACCCGACGCTATACAGGGTGGCACTATTGCATGGTTTGATCAACTTTTACTTACGTTTCATTATTTACTACTGTCTATCCTAATTTATCATTAAACCTAATTCTTTTCAGAACTCTATTTATTTATACGGAAATCAAGCTTTTGTGTTCATGTTTATACAGGGTGAAAAAAACAAAATTAACATTTTTAAACTGGTTTACAGTAACCATAATAAAATTGGACGATTTCTAAAGTACACAACAATTTGGCTATAATTTATTTAGAACACACTGTATAATGACTTCAAATATTTTTTCATAACAAAAAAACAAAGCTTTAGCTTGTAAACTTGCCATCTAACAAGTCTGAATGGTATGACATCAGAATCAGAAGCGGTCAGAAGTTCTGCTGGTGACGAGAGAGCCAGCGATGGTAACAGTGACGGTGATGCCACCATTGACGCGCCCGTGTCGGGAGCTTCAGTATCCAGCTCCCCGCCTAACGAGATCAAGGTCAGGGTTAGTTGAAAACGTTTTTATTTACTTTAAAAAATATTTAATATAATAAAAGTATTATAATGATAAAGGAAATTATAAAAGTCGGAAGTTATGGTTTATATGGAGACTGTCGAGTTCGGATTTGCAAGATGGTGCCCCATGCGTTTTGTGTCTTGTCAAGTATATTTTTCTATTTTGTGTCGCTGTTTAATTATTTACTTTAGATCAGATAATTTTCAGAATGGCGTCTTGAAATAAATAACTTTAAATGATTATTTAAAAAATTAAATAGCCATTACAAGGGTGGTTTCTAAAATTTTAATAAAAAATCATTAAATGTCTTTATTTGAGATAATTTGGTTATTCCAGGAGGACAAGCGGTCCCGGTTATTTCGTAGTGCGACGAGCGGTGGCAACCTTATACCGGGGGGCGGGGTCACGCGCAAGAAGAACTCGCTCGTAGTGGGCGCCGAGAGACCGCTCTCTGCTCACGAGTTGCCCGCACAGAGTCCCACCACTTTAGAGGTAAAAAACATTACGTCACGCAATTTCTAGTGAAAGTGGAAAAGCTATGTATCTGATAACATTTTGGCTAATTCTGTTGTATATAAGGTCCAATTTATTCAATTTTTCAACGTAAATTAACGGTAAAATGTTTGTTCTCCATTGAGAACCTTGAACACTCGTGCTGCCATTGACTTTTTGAAAAATTTTTACAATTTAACTGGTTTTATCTGAACGTCTTTGGAGGGGACTTATTCAGCTGTGAACGTCCAGTGCATATGTTGATGATGATGACTAACAATTTGGAGTCTGAAGAAAATAAAATGTTGTACATTCCAGCCGCGCCGTACATGGGCGGAGCAGGTATCTCGGCTGGCGGGCGAGGAGCTGGCGGGCGAGTGCGTGGGCGTGTGCGGCGCGGGCGCGGGCGCGGCGCACGCGGCGCTGCTGGCGCTGCGCGTGCCGGCCGCCACCGCGCCCTCGCCCGCGCCCGACCCGCGCCCTCTGCTGCACGCGCTCATATCTAGGGCTAAGCAGTAAGTCACCAATTCATTTTTATTAAACAGTTTTATTTAGATTACACTCTTTGTTTGTTTAGGTCAAACAGTAATTGGAATTTTACCCTTTTCCTAATGACAAATTGATGTGATATCTTGATACATACTCTTAATCTTGATGATCATTGGCTCCTATTGACTGTTTGGTGATTTTTATAGCCCACAGCATTTCTAGATACATTGACTATCCAACACAAGAAGAATGATTCAATTGACACTTTTAGTTACGGAGATTAGCGCGTTCAAACAAGAACTTAAAGAAACTTTGCAGATTTATACTAGTAAAGACATAGTAGTAATGACATAGTAATTATACTTTAACCTATACTTAAATATTTCGTTGAACAGAGGCACCCGTCGCTCGTGTATCCGCGTGGCAATCTGCGGCGGCGACGCGGCGGCCAGCGCGGCACTGCGCGCGCACGCGGAGCTCGGCGCGCGCCGCCCGCACGACGCGCCCACGCTGCGGTTCTACATCGTACCTATAGGTCAGTCAGATTTTGCAGGAAAAAAGAATGTTCCCGTGTGTGTGGGAAGTGTAACAGGATAGTTCCTTGACCCATTCCAGTCTATATTATGAAGATTACCCAGTTTCCCTAAACGTTAAAGTTAAAGGTTCCTAAAACCTAGAAGTTAAAGCGTAACCATTATTTTTTGTTGTAATAATGTTAAAGTATGCGTTTACGCAGTCAGCGAGGCCAGTTTACTGTCAGTTAATGCGCTTTTTCTATATTGTTTGAACAATACAACGAGGATTGGGTCTCGCAAGAGCAAACAAACGTTGTTCCTCGCGGGTTTATCATTGTGACTATTACTTATCCTTCACGATTTTAACACTGATTTATCAAGTTCTCTTCTTAAAACTTCTAACCTCTTCCAGGTCCCAGCGTGATAGCGCGCCACCTGGCGGCGTCAGACGGTGGCTACGCGTCCTTGTTCACGGGCGACTCCTGGGCCAACATCTGCGAGCGGGCCGCCGAGGGCTCCGCGCCTGATGTCGCTGAAATGTCCTCCAGGATCGGCAGGTATGTAGGAAATTGAAACTTAATTTGGTACTCTTAAGGGTTATGTTTGAAAGACTTTAAGGTCTTATTTTTGCCTGGCTGACTATAATAATGACGTACCAAATAGATAATCATATTTATAAATTATTCGTGTACTGTGTTTGAGAACGCTCGACTAGTTTCGAGGCACTCAGGGCTCATAATTCTTTCAACAAATCTCCCTAAAAGCCTTATTGAAAATATATTGTATTCCAGGTATCTGAACAGCATCGGTCCAGTGAACAACGTGCCAATCGGCGAGGCGATGGTGGCGTATAGAGAGAAGTCGGGCGACGAGGACGCCAGCCAGACATTCGTGCCCTTTATTGCGGTAATATACTCATACTAATGACAGATCCATTTGTACTTGCTATTAGTTTAAATTATTTCTTTTTAAAATGAAAAATAAAAAAGATGAATGAAACTCCAGCTTTATTATACTTATCAGATTTTACAAAAGAAATGCAATAATAAGCATATTTAGACGAAATCATAACAGAAAATGCTCTTTGTAGAGGAGTTTCTGTAGTATCTCATCCTTAAGTGGACTTGTGTTTGGCAGTTTGATATATAACATGCTGTTTAGTGTTTAGACCTTAGAAAAATAACATTATGTGTAAATTATTGGTATAGACAATATAATAACCTTGTCTTACTCAAATTTTTTTCTATTCTACACAGGAGGTGAGAGTAGGTTGCAGTGAGGGCGGAGTATCCTCCCTGGAGTTAGAAGAAGGTGGCTCTCCCCCCGCCCGAGCGTCTCCCCCCGCGACCCCGGCCCCCCACCCCCACGTGACCCCCCACATGACGGAGCTCACCGCTGCTCCCCTGCCGCTACCCCTACTTGCAAGGACTGAACCACTTGAGCTGCAGTTGGATTATTGGCTGGTACTTAAAATTTTTTACTTAATTGTTTTTATTATTTTTAAAAGACGTCTTTGAGATGGCGCTACAGAAGCGTAAGATCTTATACTAATCAATTTTGATTAGCTATTACAATTTGGCGTGCCGATGTCTCTTTACGTTGTAGTTTTACTGTTTCTTTACTATGGTACTTGTTTATATTTTAAGCGCCACCTGTTGAGCACGAAAAAATGTTATCGCCTGGAGACGCCAAGTCATAATTTCGACTAAGCTTTTACAATGAATATCGATTTTTATAAATTTGTTGTTCTAAACGTCTAACTCCTTTTATTACCTATGCAGGTCCCAGGCCGCCAGCCCGACGGCACGGACAGTAAGGTGACGGTGAAGGCATCGTTCCGCGCACTGCACGTCACGCGACAGAACGCGCACCTCAGCATCACGTACCTCACCAAGGAGAAGAAGCAGAAGAGTTAGTATTATTTACGCATTTAGAAATAATAATAATAGTTTTTCTATGGTATAGGGCAGCAATCGAGAAGAAGAATCAATTGATGGTTATATAGTGATCAGCGCCGTCTATGGATATGTATAACACTAGAGAAGTTCAAATGCGTTGTCCGGTTTTTGGGGATTAGTAATTTGGGGATTGGAAGTGTAAGGATTAAGGATGTGGGAGGACTCCAGAGTAAGATTTGTGTCTAAACTTGGAAATCTTCAATAATAGTTTTTGATAACACATTTTATAATAAGTACTTCCCCAAGCCGACTGGTCCTCGTGGGGGAAAATGACCACGACCCTCTTAAGATAAAAAGCAACTGGAAAAAGAAACATAATGCTCTATATATTGCAACTTTAAACTGTCGATCATTGGGAACTAGTGAAAAACTACAGGAATTACAATTGGCATTGGATGAAATAAAATGGGACATAGTAGGTCTTAGCGAAGTGAGAAGATTAGGGGAAAGAATTGAAGATCGTGGTCAATACATTCTATACCATATTGGGGAGACGCCCGGGTTATACGGAGTTGGTTTCATGATCAAAAGAAACCTCGCCAAGAACATACAGGAATTAAGAGGGATTTCAGAACGGATTGCATTTCTCGACATTCAACTTCCTGTAGATGGAGAAGAAGAACAAATATGGACCATAGTCCAGGCGTATTCGCCCACTGAATCAAATAGAAGAGAAGATATAACAAAAATCGAAAAATTCTATGAAGACCTACAATCCGCTGCTACAAATGCTTCAAAAAACCTAATAGTTATGGGAGACTTTAATGGACAAATCGGTAAAAAAAAAGTGGAGAAGAATATACCATAGGAAATCACGGATGGGGCAATAGAAGTAAAAACGGCTCACGATTGGTATCATTTGCTATTGAAAACAAATTAAGTATCATAAACAGTTATTATAAAAGAAAATATCAAGGAAATGGACATGGATATCTCCCAATGGTCGGTATAAAAACGAGATCGACTATATTATGTCCAACAACTTAAAAGTATTTGAAGACCTGTCTATTTTAAGCAATTTAAATTTTAACACAGATCATAAAATGGTTCGAGCAAAACTCTCAGGGACACGTGTTAAAAGACCAAGACAATTTCACAACAGTATGAAAGGCATCGAATGCACCGGTAACATCGATTTACTTATAAATAACCTCGGAACATCCTTGCAAGGAAAGGAACAACAATGTATGTCGACCCAAGAAAAATATACCCATTTGCTCAAACAACTGAAAATAGAAACTAAAAAAGTAAACATGACTAGTACGACAGCGATATCATTTAAAAGTAAGCAATTATTACAAGAACGGAAAAAACTTATACAACAAGGAAAACATAGCAAAATTAATAACATCCAAAAGATAGCAGAATTAAGCAAACGGATTAGCGAACAACTTAGAAAAGAACGGAAAGCAAGAAGGTTTGAAACACTAAAGAAGCATATAAATAAAACAGGGGGAATAAAGAAGGCGCTAAAAGAAATGAGTTACAAAAAGGACTGGATTCCAAATATGAAAAATAAAAACAGGGAAAAGACGAGCAAAAGGCCGGAAATACTAGAAATTGCTACAGAATACTACAAAAATTTATACCAAAGTCGTAAAGGTGATCAAGTAATTAAAAAATACAATTCAGCAGATACAGACGAGATAAACACAATACTAACAGAGGAAACAATAAAATCAATTGAATCACAAAAACTAGATAAAGCACCTGGATCAGATCTAGTCACTAATGAATTATTGAAAACAACGTCACCAGTGATAGCACCAAGACTGACAGATCTGTTTAATGAAATCTTAGAAAAGGAAACCATCCCAGAAGACTGGACCAAATCGACAATCATACTGCTGCATAAGAAAGGAGACAAGAATGATATAGCAAACTACAGACCGATCAGTTTAATGTCCAATATTTATAAAATATTTTCTAAAATCATTCTACAAAGAATCACTAATATATTAGACGAAAACCAACCTAAGGAACAAGCTGGTTTCCGTAGTAAGTTTTCAACTATAGATCACATACACACTCTAAGACAGATAATACAGAAATATGGAGAATATAATAAAACGTATTACATTGGATTTGTTGACTTTAATAAAGCATTCGATACATTAGAACACGAGTATATATGGGACGCTCTACAGAGGCAAGGAGTTCAAGCAAAATATATAAGAATAATTAAAAACGTTTATACAGCAAGCACTGCACAAGTTAAACTTGAATCTACGGGAAACCAGTTCCCTATTAAAAGAGGTGTGCGCCAAGGAGATCCTATATCACCTAAATTATTTTCGGCAGTGTTAGAGATGATCTTTAGAAACCTAAATTGGACCAAAAAGGGCCTCAATATAAATGGCGAAAATCTCAACCATCTACGCTTCGCCGATGATTTGGTTGTGTTCTCAGAGGACGCTGGAACGCTGGGACTAATGATGCAACAACTATCTGATGAAAGCGCCAAGGCCGGCTTGACAATGAACTTAACAAAAACTAAAATTATGACGAACGCTCAAGAAACAGTATACCACGAACAAATAACAGTAAATAACGAAGAAATAGAGTATGTAACGGAATATATATATTTGGGCCAACTGATATCTATAGAGGACTGCATGAAAAAAGAAATAGAACGAAGAATAACGAATACCTGGAAACGGTTTTGGTCACTTAAAGAAGTAATGAAAGATAAAGATATGCCAATGTCAGCAAAAAAGAAAGTGTATGAAATATGCATTATGCCATGTTTGCTATACGGGTGCCAAACATGGGCATTAACTGAACTACTAGAACAAAAATTAAAAGTGTGTCAAAATACAATAGAAAGGAGCATATTAGGTATAAAAAGAAGAGACAGAATAAAACTGCAAGAAATTAAAAAGAAAACTAAATTTAAAAATGTACACACGGTCTACAGACAGCTTAAGTGGCGTTGGACAGGACATATGCTTAGGGAAAATAGAGACAAATGGACTAAGCTAGTGACGGAATGGTATCCAAGGGACAGTAAAAGAAAAAGAGGTAGACAAACGAAAAGATGGGAAGATGATATCAGGAAAATAGCTGGTCCAGTATGGACCCGTTTAGCTAGAGACAGGGATACATGGAAATCTTTAGAGGAGGCCTTTGTCGACAGACAAGCTGTTCCACAAAAACACCTAGTTGCCGATAGTTAAAAGCAAGTAATAAAAGTTTATTAGAAAGTAGGCATGTTAAAGAAAAATATGTAATAGTTGATAAGAAACAGCAATAAAGGCTATTTTATTTTATTTTATTATTTTTATTTATTACTTCCTTTGACCACACTATTATATCTGAATTTGTGAAATTACAATTAAATTAATTGTTTGTAATTTATACCAGTAATGCGGCTGGGCAAGAAGAAGGAGAAGACGGGCGAGGCTGAAGTAGGACGCGCACAGACCGTGGATGGAGTCGCAAGACTTATATGCTCCGCCAAGAGCTCTCACAACGTGCCGCTCAAAGGTAAACCTTATTGCTTTGTTTTTAAGGTAGACGCTCAGTTTAAATTGTCATATGATTGTTAAATTGTAATTTTGTTCTTTGTGAATATGTTATTAATAATTGTTCACAGTATACATAGACGGCATGGAGCTGAACGGCGTGAAGTTCTTCCAGTTGTCGACGCAGTGGCAGACTCACGTCAAGACATTCCCCGTCGCCACCTGCGGGGCCCCGCTCGCACCGCCTGAGTCGTAGGGGCCCGGTGCCCATTTCCCCGCTACTATTTGCAGGCCCCTTGGGTCCCTGGCCTCATAGGCCTGACTAGCGCTCGCCAATCTCCGGCCCGCTCGGAAGCACTCAGCGAAGCTACGAAATGAGGCTCTAAACTTAGTCTTGCGTACCGACAAATGTATTGTATAACGTTTATTTATTAAGCTGTCAAGCTGCCATGATTATAGCGTAGGACTCGCCTTGTGTTATGTACCTTGAGTTCGTTATATATCCATGTATTCCTGTAGTATATAGGTCGCCGTATACTCGCATGCTGTATGGTGTCGTGATTCAAGCTACATAATGCAGGCTCAAGCGTTAACTGTATCGTCATAGTCATTCATTCATTAGTTATCGTATTTAATATATTTTAATGTAGTCGTTATCTGTGTACTCAGTATATATCGAGAAATAATGGTTCGTGACATTTCCAATATGTGTATGTAATATAAGTTAGTGTGTGTGTGAGAGCTTGGCATGGCTGTGTGTGTACTTTCAACGAATATAAGCTTACGTGTAGCCAAAATTTCGCCGAATTCCGATAGTTGTGCGTCGGGCGTCGGTTTGTAGGACCTCGTGCAGTGCGCGAGGCAGTGATAGCGTAGTGTTACTGGAGCGAGTATCGCACATATCAACGTAGGTTCGGTTCCAGTGTTGTGCGCGATTTTATTTTTGATCTGTGATTCGTGAATGCAGTTTTTTTAATATCCTAAGGCAATGGAAACGCGTTGTTGCAAGTCATATTTTTGTGTAATTTTTTACATAAGCGCAGCTAACAATGCGTTGTCAACATTTATAATTTTGTACGGCAAACAATGAACTTTTGAATGAAGTGTAGATTTTTACGTAAACTTGATTAATTTTAAAAGTATTAGTAGTTACATGTATATCTTCCTAATCGCTTATACTTGCATAGATTGAACGATGTCTTCGATTTACTTGAACAAGCCAAAATTTTTAGTCTTAACCCTGAAAATTCGAAATTAATTCCGAGCCAATTTGGAACTTTCTATTTGGGCTAGTTTAATTTTGTAGCGGTAACAGTAGAGGGCGTTAGGTACCCCGCAGGTCAACGACTGTCTCATGATATCATAGAATTAGTTATATATTCTCAAACTTTACATATATACTACGTGTAATACTTAGGTATAGCTGTGTGGTACTCTAATAATGTGGCTGTGTGAGTAAGAATGTCAAACGAACAGTTTTGACGGCATCTTACACTAATTTGAACTTTAAATCTATTAAGATAGGTTCCAATGTGGGATTTCGCTAAAATTGATATCGTATAAGGCTTCGCGTCTCGTATATTCTTTATTAATACATTTTATCGATGTTAGACATGTTGTTAGAGCCTAAATTAATAATTATTCGACATTTATAACTAAGGCGTTTGAATAACGAGACGGTCGCCATCAGTAACATAGGACTTCCAAATATGTTGATCTTAGATCTAATGTTATAATTATTATATATCGTTTTAATATATTGACATATCGATACTATGCTATAAAATTCAAATTATATCTATTATCGTGGTTAAAGTAGACGTCTATTAATAATATTTGCTTCAAATAGTGTATTCGTGGTAATGTTTAGAGTATTTTGATTTTTAATGCAATGTTACAAAGTTGAAAATTGAATGAGTAAAGCGCTTTAGAAGTGAGTGTCTAGAAACAAATGCCAAAATAAATTTAGATTGTTGTGAATGCGCATGCTTCAATTCCCAGTACAATGAAATATAATTCGCGGTGTATCTAATATTTAGCAACAGACTGACTGTTCGATTCTCGAGTTGGACAAGGTATCATTACAGTTCGGTTTTTAAAAAATTTGCTCAGCGCTTTACTATCAAACTTAGATCAATAATATTTAGAAGGCTTATGTTACTGCTCTGTCCTTGAAGCAAGTGGGTTTTGAACGCTAGTCGAGTGAATAAAAAGAAAAATCGCTAAATGAACAGAGGGCATAGTATGACTTTCTTTTACTTTTAACGTAATCAAAACGAATCCGCGCCGCTACTGTGATTGGTCGGTTCATTGAAGCCGGCCAATCAGAGGGCCAAGCACGAATAACTATCGCATTCGTAACGTAATAGTATCGAGCGCGTTCGGCGCTCTGATTGGACGGCTCAAGTGAATCAACCAATCAGAACGCTTAACACTGCGATAGTTATTCGTGCTTGGCCCTCACAAACGAGATCTCGTTTCGATTACTTTAAACGTAAAATAAACTTGTACTAAGCCTTCTAGATGTTACATATTATGTCAAGTTAATATCTTTTTAAATTCTCGTTCGACTAGCGTCTATAAACCCATTTGTTGGGCTTGTTTGCTCCCACGGGTAACTGTGACAATAGCTCGCGTATTATACGCTTTTTCACAATAATAACACCGTTTTTATTTAAATATACGCTCTTAATATAAGTCGTATTTAAATAGCAGTAGGCCTGTTTACCATTTTAATATCTAACAATATACTTATTCGATCTTATTCGTGGGCTAAAGGCCTAGTATGAGTTATTTTTACGTTAGCGTGATCCAAACGTTAACTAGCTGATTGGTTGGTTAACTTGGAGCAGCCAATCAGAGCGCTGAAGGTCATGAACGTGTGGATCGCGTTAGCGTAAAACAAAATCGTACTACGCCTTTTGTTCTGACATGTTTCTGAGTATAGTGTGTGATGGTGACCAAGCAATAGTTCTTGGAAGACTATATGAAAGTATTGTTATTGAATTTTAAATGGTTTTCGAGCATCAAAAAATCCAATGCATCAAATCTGGAACTGTGACCAGTGTGTGGTATAATGTGTCAGGCTCTGTTCATCATAAATATGAGATTCGCAATATATCTTACAAAGCTGACATCGGAAGTTACTGACCGAGGTTATGGAATTTGCGGGTTACCGGAGCTCCGGTTCTAAGCAGGAGTGCGAACGAGGTGATTTTTAGTAAGTAAGAGCCTGACACATCACACCCTTTCTCTCGCCTCACTCAAGGCGGGAGATGTCATTTAATTGTTTTAAAATATATCTAAATTTAAGAAATTACCGTAATGATTAAAGAAGTCAGATATCTGCATATTGTATTGTAAAGAATGAACAAGAAACATGTCAGAACATACCACATCAGATGTAAAATAGTCTCAATAACAGTTTTACTATAAACTTTGCGCAGTCACGTTTGTTGTTATATTTGTCAAAATATTTCTTCTCATATCTAGTCTGGCAATTTCAGTCCTAGAGACGCCTTCTGATTAGTTTTCGCTGTAAATTCTGGTATACAGAAGGGATAGAAGCTTAAGAGTATTGCTCGTTCTTCTACATAATTATATTGTGCAATGAGCATCTTCACTGATGGAAGACTATCAGAAAAAAGTGTCTTTGTGTGGAATAATTGAAATAAATGCTTTGAATAGAATATCATCCAAGTCAGTCAAGCTGTTTCAGAAGATAGTTACATTACAACAGGTAAACGAACACCGATACTTTCTTCAAAATTATAAAATACTAGTTGATCTGGCAAACTTCGTATTATCTAAATTTTTTTTGTTACCTTTTACCCCTTCCCTAGTCTAGCCGTTCTCGAGTTGTAGCGGGACTAACTATTAAAAGAAATATTTCGACAAATAAAATAACTAACAATATATTATCTGTGTATCATATCAAGTCGCTTCTATGTTATATAACTATGTAAAATAAAGTACGGACTAACTTTTATCGTTAATATTCTCGGGTTCATATAGTAAGGACCCATATTTTCTAATATTCCACAAGAATTATGCCAGGTAGACAAGTTTCGTATTTTATGTAATCCAATGTATACAGGGCGTGATTGAATTTGTAAGTAATAATTAAATGAAGTGAATTAAGGCTACTGTTACGTAGGACTGCCTCGTTGTTCGAATGGTAGCAAGTGACGTGCGATCAGGCAAAGTTTTACTGGGTTTTTAAACGAATCTCAGTAGTAGCGCAGAATCTGGAATTGTGTCCGGTATATGGCAATAGGCTCACCCCCTAATACATGGGACTCGTAACATAAATAGTGAAAAGGACGTGTGCACTTCACCTACAACCTAATACGCATAATATAACTAATGCCGCCATGGATTATATTGCAAAGTATAAAAAAATTGCGCATCGTGAGATCCTGACAGTAAAAGGAACTACTGGTACAGTACGCAACGTGCAGTACATCACATTAGTATTGTGTGAACTCTTTGATCACTTTCAACCCACGTGACCTAAGCTTAATAGGTCAATGCTCTGTAGTAAACATATTTTTGATTCACAATTAAATTAAACTGGTATCGAGAGCAGTAGGTGTGCTACAGTTGAAATTATCACTCATGAATTCAATAACACTCTGTATATGAATATGTAATAGTACCTATTAACAATGTTTATTATTTTTCATATAATGTATGTATGTTGTAATATTATTTAATTTTATATACGGAGACATATTCGCCAATTTCGAATTAAAATTAATATATTTTCTATCATGCTAATTCTGTTGTTTACCAGTTAAATATCATTTTCAATATTGCTCTCCTATTCTTTAGTATAAAAGATGAAAGGGACGGAATTACTTGTTTTCAAATTAAGAAATATTTCATGATCATTGGTATTAGAAAAGGTTTTCGTGTTGTCCTTTTCCCTCTTCATATATCAGATAGCGATAGCAATATTCTAATTTTATTTAATTGGTAGAGAATTATAAGTTTTTATTCTACGAAGGTATTTTGGCAATAAAAAGATTAATTTTCATTATATTTAGTTGTACCTAGCGATGAGATACTTTCTTTTCCTATATTATGTTGGATGCACGCGTCTCCAAATTTTGTATACCAAAAATTATGCAGTTTGTATGTTCATGTCATGCGCAATCCTGTTCGATCGTCGTGAGAATAGTAGTTAAAACAATTAAATACCAGAACAAATATTTCTTTTGGCTGAAAAATCTTGTAGTAGTCATCTTAAATTGATTATTTTACTACTATGTTTACAAAACGGTCCAATAGCAAACACTAGTTGAAACTTAGGTACACTATTTTTAGGCTAAAACTTAAATTGTCAAACAACAATCTACCATATTTCAACAATTTATGGTTGATATTTATCTGATAAAATGAAATAAAAAGATCATTACATTTTGAACTCTGTTGCAAGGACTGAAGTTTATAATTTCTATAGCTTAAACAGTGACCTATTTTCAACTAATGTTTGTAAGAAATGTCTCTGCAATAAGTCTCCCAAGCTTTCGTTATCGGCTTAGCCAAACGATCCATATAATGACATTATCTTTTAACTATTAAGTATTAATTCATTATTTTGTTTTAATTCATTATATTATATTTTTATCTAACATGCTATTCTTGTTACTTATGATTAAATTATAGTACCTACTGGGGTGTAAAAATGAATATAACAAACCCTAAGTTCAGATATGTACGATATTATCTTATTGAATAAATGTAATGTTAAAAAATATAAATGTACTGGTCAAAGGAAAAGGATTGAAAATCTATGCAATAAAATACAGTTATGATTTTAAAATATTCAAATCGTAATTGTTATCATGTTTTTTCTTATTTATTTATATAAATATCCGTACTACAATTTAATCATAGGAGTGTTGGCATGTATGTATAAGATTTTTATTAATTGTAAAATATTTTGGCATAAAGGCGGGAAATGAGTTAAAGGCACACAATTTGTAGCTATAAATCTCTATGACCTATTATAACATCTGTGGTAACAATTTCCCGCCAAAAAAAACTATTATTTGATCTCATTACTGCTGACTGAGAATTCATTTGGCACGTTTCTATATTACAATGAAATTAATGAAATATTTATTTCACTAATAGACCTTAGAAGCCATCGCCATCGTGTACTAATGTATTTTGTATTACTTTGTATTGTATAACTAATCATCACAAATTGTTATGTCCATCTACAATGGCCAAACAAACTTATATTAGTGCTATGGGAATTTCATTTAAGTTGAGTAAATTAGTACAAAAATATCTTACATTTTATGTTCCATCAATTAAAAATAAAATTCAATGCATTACTTGCATTAATGCAACATAGACTGTGCAATAATGTAAACATCTCTTGAGAATTTAATTAATGTTCATTTAATTTGACTTGTAAGTCATTAAAATATAATTTCATTACGATATTTTTAAGTAATGTGATGAGATTTATTATTTTATCATAATTTGCAAGTATAATTTGTATTTATTGTACAAATAAACATTTTGCATTAAAACACATTTGTTTCATTTTTAATAAAATTAATTTATTTGATTTAAGTAATAACAATTTGTTGTTTAGATATAAATAAATAAATATGACATAATAATGTCCTTTTGGTAACTACATAATTTTTTTTGTATGTCTACCTATTTTTATAAATTACGATTTTTTAGATCACACACTTGTAAGAGTACTAACAGTACAACAACAATCCTTTGAACGAAAATACAACAAAATATCAAAATTACAAGAAAATGAGTAGACATTTAACATCAATGTTTTTATTAGGCCGTAACAGACTCATATGTATCATATGACTTAATAGTATCATAAATCACTTAAAAGAAATCAATCTTAGGTCAATATAATTGAGTATTTCTATAAAAAATATGCTACATCTTCTGTTAATGTATTCAATGTGTTGAAAGTAGGTTTGCATATTGCATTTAATATTCAAGTGTACTTTTTGTGCAATAATTAAATCTTTTATTACGGATGTGATGAAGAAAGTAGAAACAGATATGCTTTAACATTTGTGCTTATTCTAAAATATTCAATAGCCTTCGAATATTAAAAATTGGTCCCTCAATCCATTCTCCCCTCCTATACCCCCCTCAGGGAGGACATAGACTAACCCATCAGCCCCCTTTTTTGGAGAAAACTCGTATAGATTATTGTTGCTCTGTGCAAGATCATATAAGTTCCAGGCTGATACATATTTGGACTTGCCATGTCTGCAAAGTACATAGACATTTTTCTGATCACTAATGAAGTCTTCTCCAGGATGATTTATGATGATAATGCCGCATACTAATGCCCAGTGAGCTGTGTGACCATTCTTTAAGCAAGGCGAGTGATTACAGTCAGCGTCATATCTGGTTTTAGAGTTAAAGGGAATATGATTATGTTACTGTATGTGCACTATGACTTATAAAATAATGAATGTATCTTATCTAATCAAAATTATATGAATTATTATATTGTGTCCTTGAAAATTCTAAAAAATACTAAATTGAAGCTAAATGCAAAAACCCTAGATCAACTTCAATCCTATACCTATTACTTTGAGTTTTGCCATAAGAATGAACATGACAGATGAATAGGTAACCTCAGGGCAACAAAGTAGAATCAGAAATTAATTTCATAATATTGTGCAACAAACACTGAAAACTAATGTTGTCAACTAACAAATATTTTTAAGGTATTAGAAAAAAAAATTGTAAAAAGGATACGGAACTAAAAGGACAGCACCATTGAGAAGTCTTTTTATAGTCTCTGAGCTGTACAGACCTCCTTTTTTCAATGTACAGCAAACACCCTCTACTTCTGCTAAACTGAAGGCTTTCTCAGTCAGTTTCACCATATTCTTACAGCTGAACATTTCTCCGTTGCTTGTGTAACCTTCTAATTTCGCGATGCTTAACAATTCATCTGGTGATGCCTCTCCATTTACTGCCATCGACAAAGCAACTAGACCACAAGTTGGACCTATCTGCAATATAGACTCGAAATACCTATAATTATACGCGAAAGGAGGTTTCTCATAACAGATCTTGTTTTTAAAACAGGCTTCTCTTAACTCCGGGTGCTCAGAGGCCCAAGTACATATTTCTGGATCAAAACTCGGTTCGTTTATCTGTCCGTTTTTCTGCATATTCGTCGGTTTATTGATGTTGGGCAGTGTAGGTGGCGGAGGCGGTGGTGGTATTGTACACATTTTCATAAAATTATATCATCTATCTATTAAAATAATGTAAAATATTGAAACTTATATAACAATAACAAAAATAAAGAGTATTAAACTTCAACTTAACATCACTGATTTATGTAAATAATTACTGTAAAACAATGTAATTTTATTGTACATTTTCTTATTAGTTTTGCAATTTTACGTTAAAATTTCCATTACCTATTTACTTTTATTTATTTTTTTACAGCTGATAATGTTTTGACTTTTTTTTACTACTGACTGTGACAGTGACATACAGATTACAGATCCATCAGGCAGCGTATAGCACCAAAGAGTATAATAAGTATAGGGGTTCCATAGAATTCATAGAGTATAGAAAATATCAAAATAGGTGATGAGGAGGAGGATCAGACTTATTTCTAAAATGCGATTGTATTATTTCGTTAAGACTTCAATATTCATTTATATTGATTTCTTGACCTTGTTTTCGTTACACAAAATTGTTTAAATGTGAACTTAAACGAAATGGATTGAACTTATGAACTCATAGCGTAGAGCATAGAGTTGTTGAAATTGAGGGCGTGGTAAACGTTCTTTGCTATTTTCCATTCAATTTTAAATTCGTTCCTTTCATTCGTTTCGTATTTTATTCTGACAGCTGTTGAAGTAGCGCGAGCTGTAAGCGCATTGTGATAGTGAATTATTTTAATTATAATTTGAAAGGAAAGGGTCTGCTTCTTGATATTTTGGAACCAGTTGGGCGAGTCCCTAATTCATCATGTCGGAGTCGCGGAAAAACCATCTGTCCATAGATGGAGGGCAGGTGAAAGAAGACGAACACGTCGCATCTTACAAGCCTATCCCCGAGTCCGATGGAGGTATTCCCTTTGTTTTAAGTTTAATTACTTGTAAAATCGATATTAAAATATTTTTCATACATTAGTATCTTGTCTTGTCATAAAATTTGAAATGGTTTTAGTAAAATGTTGACCTTTATTTTATTATGTCGTCATTTTCATCATGTAGTTCTTATTTGAATATGATTTAAATGTAAAGCCTTGATTGCTGTTTCCGTTATCAATTTTATCATGTCGTCATGACGTTATCAATGAAAGGTAGAGATAACAAGGTCGACAGCAAACGTCAAAGCCGAAATGTTATCCGACAAAAATGAAAAGTTCGCTATCTTACTTTTTTCAGCTAATTGAAAAATATATGCCTACTTTTTGTGATAGTTTAAACCAATATGCTGTTATTTCTATCCTGTTTACCGTAACATCGATGCCAACCGTGATTTCATGATATTTGTCTAATTATGAACAACTTAAATATTTTATACCAAGGTGTCTTTTCGATTCGGTCGGGTTATAAAGCGCTTTATTCGCCGCGGCAGTCAGCGCCATTTTGTTCTCGTCCGCTGAATGATGCAAGATACAAGTTTGTTTGCAATATTTGAACGTTAATTTGTATCAAGGATTACCTTAACCAAGCAAGACTCAAAAAATTTGAAGAAGACATCAAAATAATGAGTGGTAAACATATTTTTTAGCTTATTTCTTTGAACTCAGACAAGTGGTATCCCAATCTATTGATGTAGATGAGAAACTTCCTGCAAATTGAATTCACTTGCAAAGGACCTCTATTTGAATGACCCACTTGTTATAAATTGGTTAACTAACTCCAATTTATGTCTGAGAATCAAATGCTTATTCAATCAGTCATTTGCCAGTTAGATGGGAAGACTATCACACCAAACTTTATTTCCAGCTGAACCTGTTGAGTATTTGGAGACTGAAGAGGTGTACATGCAGTTAAACCAAAATGAAATAATGGAAACAGAGCCTGCTGACGATATAGATGACCACTGGGAACATAACAGCATTAAAATGCTTTTAAATCTGTATCTCCAGAATGTTGACAAATTCCGTAGCCCTAAAGTCAAGAAAAAAAATGTATGGATAGACATAGCCAATGCTGTTGGTAAAGGCCCAGACTGCTGTGACAAGAAATTTCGTAATTTGAAACAGACATACATTAGATTACTCAAGAAAAGGAACAGAAATGAGGTGGTTGTAGTAAAATGGCCTATTTTGAAGTTTTTGAGAAGATTTATAATGTGTAAACGGTGAATACCAGCCAGAAATACAGCAGAGGATACAAGAGGCAAGCACAGAGAGTGTGACCAAAGCTTTATTGTCTATAGCTGAACCTTCAACTATGAGCAGGATGTGCAAGAAAATGGGGAGTCATCAAATGGACAAAGTGAAGAGTCTAGAAGGAAATTGAATAGAAGAAGATATGCAGACTTTAGGAAAATAACATTAGAAATGAGAAATAGACAGAAGACAGTGGAAGAGAAGTTAGATAGACTAATAAATATAGTACAAGAATCAAATAGCATACACGGGAAAGAAATAGATTATTCCAACAATTCCTTGACAATTTACATCAAAATACTTAGGAAATAAATCCAGATTTAATGATTAAAAGTGTGACTACTGGGTATAAGGCCGTGGATTTTAAATTTCAGGTCAGGGGCTAAGTATTATTACGGCTTTTGATTAAAAAGTACTTAATAATATAAATCATAGCCTTGAGTTTGGATTTGTGCCCAAACCACGTATTTGTAATTTCTTATAATGTTGCCATTGTACATATTTTAAACTTAAGATTGTTAATAAGCAATAAGGCTACAAATTACACTTTTCATTTATATGAATCTATGAGGGCATTTCCTACCTGACTATTCATGAATATGTTATTACAGCGTGACAATCGTGACATGATTCCAGTAGATGAGTATAGGATTGTTACAGATTGACGATGATAATGATGCAACAGGAGAATTGTGACAGCAAGCCCACATCTTCCTAATCTAGCAAATAAGTCAGAATACCTGTGGTTTTGTACATTATGGTTCTGAAATTGTCATATTTGTGCCAGATTCTCTAAGTCGGAGGATGTGTTTTTATTAAGTACTTGGAATGTGTAATTATTAATTTTTGACTGTGAATTGTTTTATAAAAATAAATTTTATACTGAAATCATTAACTGGAATTTACCTACATATTTTATTTATACAGACAGGGCAATCCCATATTTCAACTTTACTCATTTATTTTCCTGTTCATGTTTATTTAGCTTCGTAACAGAGTATTAGTGTATGGATAGAATAAACCTTTATAAATTCTGACTAACACTTAAGTTACACATTTATCCTGGAATTTATATAAATTATAGTATTACATTAATATTTGTTTCAAATGTTCCTTTACATTAAGTATTAGCTAACAAGAAATTATTCAAATAGACTAGTCCATTTAACAAGGTGATTGATGATTGATGACGAAGAGAAAGAGGTATGTAGGAATCGTAGTAATTGGCGTTCCAGTCTTTGCCTACCCCCGTATGTAGCCAGAGTCGCCCGCGACCTTGGCTGGATAGTTAACTGTCCTTAGGTATATATAATATTGCAAGGAGCTATTTGTACATTGTTGCAAAACACACAAAACTTGAAGTAGTAAGAAAATAAAATTGGTAATACATACTTTCACAGCCTAAACTGCTAGACTAATTTTAATGAAATCGACACGGATAGAAAAAAAAACTCATAATTGCCGACGATGTAGTTAGAGGAGCTTTTTACAGGCATGTAGTTACAGTTAAAAAATGGAAACAAACTAATAAACATTAATAAAAAATCATCAATAACTATTTTTACGTGACACTAAAATCACGTTTATGATTAAAGCGTGACACTTAAATCACGCAAAAATATAAGCGTGACAATGAATAAGTGTAATAATAGTATCGAACTAAAGCGATAACAGTTAAACAATAGTGTTGAGAATCTATTTCTATTTCAATTAGCAATTAATAATATAGAAACACAGTAGGTACTTGCCATTTGCAGTATGTATGATTCTTAAAAAAATCCTGTATCGCTAATTTTTGTAAACATGATCTTTATATTACCACAACTACAGTCAAGCTTGTCATATCACTGGTTTTCAGGCAATACCACGATTCTATTGTAGTTTACGTGTTTTAATTTACAGTTCTATATTACTGTTAATTTGACTATTGTTCTACTAAAGTGCATTTTTGAGTGCGTTCCAGGCCATTGAAGTGCGTGGGTGAGTTTGGGATATGTGGTTGTGGTTTCATGAGTTTTCTCCCTAAGTAGATACGAATTAATAAACATAGCCTTTTTATAAAAATCTGTTAAGAAATTATTTGAATAATATAAAAATATGTTGTCTGCTCGTCTTTTCAATGACGCCTTCTACTCATCATAAGTCCATTTTCTTATTGGACATAGGCGTTTTCAATAGCAAACCATTGTGTTCAATCTTCCCCTCATCTGGCAAATGTTAGCTACCTTGCAGATATCGTCACTGCCCCTACTTGGAGTTCTTGTTGTCCTACCCGGTATCAGATGCCTCCGCTACCACAGAATCTGCGCAACTAATTGCCCCGTCACATAATCTTAAAACCAAGGCTACTTCAATTCGCAACTTGAAATCGGAAGTTTACACAGCAATCTATATGACAAACAAGTCGTGCTTGCTATGAAGTTAAGAGGCCTCTTGCTAAATTATGAGGGCTCAAATAGATTAAATTGGACTCTAGACTAAGTCTTTTCAGAGCCCAAAATTGAAGCACAAGCTCTGTACTGTATAAAAATATAAAATACCCTAACTATAGGATTAAAGACAGAAATTCATTTGTTTTATTGTATTGGAGACTCATTTCTGAAGTGTTTTTACTTTCTAGTAATAAAACAGGGGATTGTGACAAAATGATAAACTGCCTAAGGCCCGCTCCTAACAATACTATCTCATTTTGTATTAGTACTCTCAAACGTCCAGTAAGAAAGCGTCAAAATCTAAAACTTTAGATGGTGATTTAGTAGATTATCGGAATAAATGTCTTTAAATATCACGAACTACGTCTCACTCCTCCACTGAACAGATTAAACTCCCAAAGGATAAAATCGTTTGGCAAAGACGCAATTCTCTTGATTGCTCAGTCACTTTGTGAAATTAGGTTACTCACGGTAAATAGACTGAGTAAATGTTGGATAGCTATTTCGTAAAGAGTGCCAAGTGTTCCTCTAATCTAACGTTAGAATTCAAGAGGAGGAATAGTGATCAAGTTACAGTACAGTCACACTTTATCAAATACTTATAGCAGGATTAAAATATCCACAAATATAGCTTTTCGGGACTTTTATAAGAGAGCTATCTTAGCGTAGTGATGAGGGTCATCTAATAGTTTCAATACCTCGATGTAACAAATATATCGATGTGATTTGGAGATTTTTGTTCCGATGTCTAATTATAACGACTTTAATATTGGGCCTCGTGTTGTAATAAAAATCTATGCTATTTGGGAACATTTTAAATAGTGTATTCAATAAACTGAAGATATCTTAATCACCTCTTCGGACATTAACAAATCGATACTCGATGATTAGGAGAGTTCTGAGGTAATTAGTAAGTTTTATTTGTTTCTTTTAAAACTATTAATAGTCTAAATAACAAACTAATTAACTTAATCATCGTAGTAAGTGTCTGGAAAGGTTCTGCTTTGGTTCTTATCGGAGTAAGTCGTTCACAAATGAGTTTGTCAGTCCATTTAGTACGAAGCCATTATTCCATTAGGTGTAAACTGAGATAGTTTACCTAGTTCGGAGTTAGTGGTCAAGTGGTCTTGTGACGGATTGTGTGTGGTTCTTGTTATTGTGTAAATTTTTCGTGACATTACCGGTTACTTCAGTGATGGTGATATTGAATAACTAAACGATTTATCCTACGTGTGCAATAGATGAATAAGTAAGTGCAGCATTTGCGTGTTTATTATTCGTACCAAAGGTCTTCGACCTAAAACTCGTATCTGCCAAAAATGTACACCTACATAAAATACTGAACGTGGTATTCAGCATTCTTCATCTTACAATGCAGTCGTCAATTATTTCGGCGAATATTTTTTTTGTAAACTCAAAACCAGCCATGCATTGCCAACTTACAAAATCAGGTTCCAATACAAAAAAGCTTGCACCCGCTGAGTTTTGGGAAGCGATTTCATCTTGCAACGAGTATTCTTGGTCCCCATAATTTTTAAATTAAATTCTTCATACTACATCTACTTGTGTGGGTACCCATACTTAATATAAGGGCCCTGCACGTCCGTACGATTGTAGTCGTATTTTTCCGTTGAAGGGCTCAACGTCGAAGTTTAAAGAAAGTGAGTGTTCGAACTTTCATTAGAAAGCTGTTAAAAGTAATTGATTTGTTCACGGTGAAAATTGTTTATAACATGTTTGGTTTTGTACTTATTCTTACCCGTAAAACGCTGGCTGCGTGTGAATTTCTACTTATAATAATTTTGACCCTGTAAAAAAAGGGTTCTTGTAATAAAACTAGGGGTGTGACCACGTTGACCTCATTGTTCCACGTGGGGGATTTAGAAGTTGTATCGGGGTGACATTTTTAGCTCGACAAGGACGGTAGAGACGAGAATAGATAGTATCTATTCCAGAATTTTTACCGCTATACGGCAGGCCGCGAGCTGGATCGTTAGTGGGGTAACGTGCTTCGTACGGGTAGGAACATTTCTGACGTAACTTGGACCGGGTATTGCAAATATTTTCTCTTGATTTTAAAGTGTTTCGGTACGTTAACCTTGTTGAAATATTTGTGTCATTTCAGTGCGATTTGTGAGATGTGTTGTTGTGCCAAAATTAGGTGAATTGGGCTGAAGCGTGGTTGAACATTAAATATGCGTCCAGATATCAAAGCTATCCAGAGATCTTGTCTGAATTATATCATTGTGATTATAAACTTGTTTTAAAATTTTAGACATACTTCTTCCATTTTTGATGTTAAGTCAGAATAGTATTTTATAACATTTTGAAAAGAGTCGTGGGAAATAAAGCATCGTCATAGTCTAGGGTTAGGCTGCGGCTAACTATGTACTTACATAAGTATGGAGGGCGCGTGGTCAGGCGACATCCTAGTAGTCTAGCGGTTTATTAACCTGTTTGCATAATTGTGTAGGCCTTAGTATACTTAACTTCGGTGTAGCTAATGGTATTTCGTGGGGAGAAGTTAATTACCACTATCGTTAGGTAGATGAGATTATGATATATTAGTCTATACTAAAATATGGAAATGCCTATGCATTTCCAATAATCGATGATCGTTAAATGGGATAGAATTGCAATACACTTTGATGGTGTTTATGCTCAAATAGTCAAATCTGCTATATTAAATTCACATAGAAGAATATTTTGGCTTTGATGTTCTAATGTATGATTTTAAACATGTTACCACTTTATTAGACTTTAGCGTTTAGTACAAATATATGAAATTGTAGAACAAATTTAGTTTACAATGTGTTTTATACATTTACAATTTGATTCATATCATACGATTTTCCTTCAAAAGATAACCCGTTTTCTTCCAGACTTCCGGACATCAAAATCCAATCTCTCCAAGTCAAAGGAGAAGCTTTCTCCTGACGGCGCGGAGGAGAAGCTGCTGCCCAAGGAAGTTGAGGCCAAAATAGTGACCAGGGTCGACATGGCAGACGCCAAATACGTGGTGGAAGACCACAGGAATGGAGACGCTAAGATCGAGCTTGATGCTAACAAACGGGTAAGTGGAATTTCTTTTTTAATTAGGTTTTGTCATACCATTTATATTCATTTGACTTTTGGATGTCGATGATGGTGTATGATTAGTATTTTTCGTCTGTTACGAGTTCTAAGTAAGTAGTACTAAGTACCTAGTTACTACAATAAGGCTTAGGGCTCACGGTGCGAGTTTTTACTTACATATCTGTATTCTACAAAGGCTGCGGGCTAGCAACCGCGGCGGGCGCGTGAGGTAATCGCGCCGTGAGCCTCTGCTCTCAGCAAGTAGAAATTTAATGAGGTGTTAACTCAACGGGTACAGCACAGCAAGTGAAGAGATTAGCGTCGGTACATACAAAATAAATTAATACAACTACTTAATTGCTAACATTATACTAAGCACACGTCGTTGCTATGGTATATCCAGCAGGCGCTCGTACATTCCCCCGGGTTTTGAAAGCGTTGGTTTCAACAAGATTCATCCGAAGACACGGGCAGTGGGCAGATCCTGTTGAACGCCCTCCGAATGACTCCCGTAGACGTCTGTATATCAGCTACCCGAACAATACCGTCTGTTCCTGGGTGAACAGCCACAATTCGTCCTAGTCTCCACTTCAAAGGAGGAAGATTGTCTTCCCTAATCACCACCAAGGTGTTCAGCCTTAAAGCATCTTTGGAGGAGTGCCACTTGGTCCGCACCTGCAGTTCGGATACATACTCCTTGCTCCATCTGCTCCAGAAGTGCTGGCGTAGTTGCTCTATTCTATGAAATCGAGACAGATGGTTCATAGAATGATCCCGGTAGTCAGGCTGCGGTAAAGAAGTCAAGGGTCTCCCAACAAGAAAATGACCCGGCGTCAGTGGAGTACAATCTACAGGATCTGATGACAATGGCGTTAATGGACGAGAGTTCAAAACCGCTTCAATTTTAGTGAGTGCAGTGTAAAGCTCTTCAAACGTCAAATTACAATTGCCCAACACTCTTTGCAAATGACATTTTGTTGACTTCACTCCTGCCTCCCAGAGTCCGCCGAAATGTGGAGTGTATGCGGGTATAAAATGGAACTTTATTCCATCATTCGCTGCACTTTCACCCAAGGACGAGCTATTAGCTTTTAAGAACTTAGATAAGTCGCTGTACGCACCAACAAATGAGGTACCATTGTCGGAGAATATAGTAATTGGTTTACCTCTTCTAGAAATAAATCGATGCAAAGCTAGTATGTAAATATTGCTAGATAAATCACCAACAAGCTCCAAGTGAATCGCCTTGGTTGTAAAACAAATAAAAATTGCGATATACACCTTTGCTAGCCTGCATCCACGGCCTTGACGACTGGCACACATGATAGGCCCGGCGTAATCAACACCAGTGCTCTCAAAGGGATAGCCTGGACGAAGGCGTTCTGAAGGTAAGTCACCCATAATGGGAGTAACGACTTTACCCTTCAATCGTCGACACAGAACGCAATTATGATAGCATAATCTTGCCAAATTGCGACCTCCTACTGGCCAGTAAGATTCCCTAATGGAAGCCAGTAATAACTGTGGACCAGCATGCAATAGCCTCCTATGCTCAAATAAAATAATAATTTGGTAAAAGGATGAGTGGACTGTATTACAATGGGGTGCTTTTTATTAAAATTAAAACTAGAATTATCGAGACGTCCTCCTACTCGAATGATATTTTTGTCATCTAAATATACGTTTAACTTGAGAAGGGCGCTCTTCTTAGGTATTTTCTGATTATTTAAAAGTAGTTTATATTCAGGAAGTGATTCACACTGACTTTGTGTGATCACAATATTGAGTGCATCTTGCAACTCATCCTGAGACAAGTAGCTTGTCGCTGCATATTGTTTCCTACATGACTTAATGAATCTTAGTACATAAGCTACAGAACGCAAAACTCGTGAATAATTAGAAAATCGACTAAAATCTATAAAACATTAAGTCTACGCTCCAATGACTTTAAACAGTGTGTAGCTTTATTTAAGGAATCACCTAGAACCGACGGGTTGTTCTTAAGGGGTATACGAACACAAAACCGACCATCAGACAATCGTGTCGTTTTTTTGACGAAATGTTCCTCGCACGATTTCTCTTCTGGCATGAAAGAACTCAAAGATTTCGGGTTTACTTCCTCTAGTTGCCAAATTTGTTAAATCGGTTCTAAGTTTCTCCCAGTCATCATTAATAGGAACAGTACTACTTAAATTACATTTTAAATTAGTTGAAAATAAAGAACTACAGTTTTGAGTTATTGGACCGGAGACTATCCATCCTAAGCGAGTCTCGAATAACATCGGTTTTCCGGTACCTAAGCTTAATCGTTGCGATCCTAGTAAATCCCAAAAGAGATCAGCACCAATTAAAAGATCTACATCAGCGGGCTTATAAAAAGTAGGATCAGCTAAAGTAATATTCGGTGGAATATTAAAGTTACTAATATTTATTTCACGACACGGAACATTACTAGTAATGTATGGCAACACAAAACAATGAAGTTCGAATTTAAAGTCGTCATTTAACGATTCTACTTTAAATCGACATTGTTTGCCTACGTTGGACGTGAGATTATTAATACCAAGTATACACCTATTTACCTGGCTAGTTTGTAAGTTTAATTGTCTACATAACCGGTTCGTTATGAATGACGATGTGCTGCCGCTATCGAGTACTGCGCGAACGAGATGCACACAATTATTGCGGTCGCGCACCTTGACCAGAGCGGTTGGCAACAACACGTCTCGCTGCATATGACCACTGGAGGATGCAATATGTGCTGATAACGCGATGTTATTTGTCTCAGTGGGAGCAGACGGTAACGAAGACGAGGTAGACAAGTTATTAGCAGTGTTATTATCATTAAGTGTACCCGAAATAGTGCCTTTAAAATCTGTGTGAATCAGTGTGTTATGCCTACGTTTGCATAATTTACAACCTGGCTTCTTGCATTTGTTAGCGTAGTGACCCGAGCGAAAACAATTGTAACAAATTTTATAATTGGGTAGTAATTTAAGTCGAGCATCATTTGTTAAAGCGAGAAACTGTGGACAAGTATTTAGCGTGTGATCAGTGTTGTTACATTTAGGACATACTTTAGAAGTTAATTCAGTGATAGAACTAGTAGGAGACTGTGTAGCTACCATAGACTTAATTTTAGGACCTGTTTTAACTACCGTTTGGGAATTATTTGTGCGAGATATTTCTAATGTCTCGATTAGATCGGCTCGACTACGTAAGAATTGCATAAAGACATCAAATGAAATCAAGCTGGCTTTGTCTAACCTACCTTTACACTCTTCCCACTCACGATACGTCTTTTGATCAAGCTTACGAGTGACAATGTAAATGAGCAGCGTGTCCCACTGCTTTACTGGCTCCCCTAAAGATTCTAAAGCTCGTAAATCTTTATTCAGCTGATCGATTAAACTCTTTAATGCAACAGAAGATTCCTTGAGAGCGACTCAATATTAAACAGGGCAGATACATGATTTTGTACCAGTAATCTTTTGTTGTCAAATCGATCGCGTAACAACTTCCATGCCACAGAGTAGTTGCTCGACGAAAACTCAACAGATTTAATTACTATCGCAGCAGTACCTTCGAGAGATGCTCTCAGGTAGTGAAATTTGTTGATGTCGTCGATGTCATCATTAGTATGAATGAGACTAGCAAAGGTGTCACGAAATTCTAACCAATTAGAATATAAACCGCTAAACTTAGGCAATTGGATCGTAGGCAATTTGACTGGTTTGTGCATGCTACCAGGTGTACTGTTACAGCTTTCCATCGATTTATTATCTTTATTAAAGTCTATCAAAATATTTTGGGCTCTAGACAGGGATTTATAATAAACAGACTCGAAATCAGAACGCTCAGAAGTTTGTAATTTTATATCGTCGGCCATGCATTCCAAACGCAACTGTACCTCATCATATTGTTCATACAACGACTCGATCTTGCCCATGCGCAATTGCAGTTCAGAAGCATCACAACTAGTTAACGGTTTGTCCTTAAGTGAGTCCAGGAAGTTGACGAAAGCAGTCAAACGGCCTTTGAAGCTTCCTCGCTTTTTGATTAAATCCCTTTCCTCGGACATACTGGAAGACGAGAGTGTAGTCAACCTGAAACTGATACAGATCTACTTGTAATAATGAACAATACAAATTTACATATACACCTAACTGTTTTATACACTAATTAACAACCTTTTAATACAATTAAACTGTCAAATACCAAGCGGTCACCGGTGACCGCGACCTATTGTTCTTTAATTGTGTCTATAAAACCGGTACTCGACGAGTTAATGATATTGCAAGAAAACCAGTATATAAACCAGAAATCCAATTGTTAACAAAGACAATGTAATTTTATTTTTTAATTGTACAAGTACCTACAATTCTAAGGTTGTAAAATAAAACTGATTTGCTATAGAAAAGCCAAATTTTAAGCATTAATTATTATTTAATACATGTACAACTGATAATAATCCTTTTGATTACTAATAACTTTACTAATTTAAACAATGACTTGCAATAATATCTACACTCGAATGAAATGTATTGCGGGTGAGCTACCTACTCGTGACAATTAACAAGTCCTCTAAAAATGTGAATTAGCTACAGCTTTATGGAAATTAAGCAAAATAATGTAGCAAGGCTAACTATACTATATTAAGTATGATTTTAAACTTAATTAAAACTGTGAAAAATGCTAATCACAAGTAACAAGTACCTAATGACTAATGACTGCAAATTGCACGAACACAATACTATGGTAGATAAAATTATAAAAAATGATACTGGCCTTTTATTCAAGACGACGACCTTATCTTATACTACCTGAGTGTTGGGTGACGATATTATTTAAATTAAATGCTTTACACCGCTAAATCACTGCTTGAGTTTAGTCCAATCCAAAATTGCGATGTCACGCTGGATCCTTATTGCTCGATATCCAATATCCTCTGTTTATATGCGCTGATCTTCTGTATATAATGTATCCGGATCGTAATGG